AGGCGAGTTCGGTCGTCATTCATGGTTGTCATGGAGTGTGGACGATGGGGGAGTGGGATGGAGTCATTTGTGGGGGCAGAATTTAGGCCTGTGGGGTCCCTCCGTGTCCACAATCGACGAAGGGAGGCGAGACGAAGGGCGGTGGTGCAACGGATGCACGGCCGCGTTGCCCGCGACCCTTCGCCTTTCGTCTCGCCCGCCACGATGACCTTGCGCTTTTTGTTTCTTTTGGTGGAGCTTGGAAATGACCTTCAGCTGGCCTTCGCGCTGCGTCTGTACTGTCGTCCACCCCGCGTGACACGTGTTTATAAGGACGCGGGCGTTCTGCGCAAATGCACGAGAGCACTCTCTCTGTCTACCTCACGCAGTCCCCGCCGCCCGCCACGCTTGTTCTGTCGTGGTCGCAATCGTCTTCGCCACTCGAGTCGCCTTCATAGCCTGCATCCGCGCCTTCGTCGCCATCCTCGCCATCGAGGCCTTTTGTTCAGCATCGCCGCCATCAGCGCCATCGTTACCGCGTTCGTCGCCAACGTAGTTATCTTCACTGCTTGCGTCGTCTTTGCAGTCGTCTTCGGCGACATCCTCGTCGGCGAGCACATCTTTTCGCCTTTCGTCTTCACCGCCATCGTCGCGTTTCCGAAGATCGTCCCCTTGTCGTCCAGATTGTCATCGTCACCGCGGTCGTCATCGAATACGACGCCAACACCGCCATCGCTGTTGACAGTTGGCTTCGATAGCGCTGTGCACGTCATCGAAGCGAGTCGGGCGAACAACCTCGCCGTGGATGTGTCTTGCGCCATGTCCTCACGCGGTTCTGCACGCGGCAAGGCCGCCGCCAACCTCGCACAACAGCCACCGACCCGGGAGAAGAAGGGCTGCCACATGGCCAACAAGAAGAGGAAGATCCTCCAAGGCGCCCCGACACATGGAGGTTACGTGGTGGATGAAGAGTGGGTGCCGGAGGACGTGGCGACGCAGGAGGGGAGGAATTTCGAAGACTCTGACGACATGCCGTTGCAGCGGAAGTCGTACAGGCGGGGGAGTGGCGGCCTCCGCATAGACGACGCTGGCGACAGACGACGCGCAGGAGGGCGGGCAGCACCGGAAGACGTCCTCGACGTTGACGCCGCGACGGCAGCTAGAGAGGGCGGGGGAAATCGCGCGCCGCTGCCACGTATGACTCCACCCACCGGCACGCAAGAGGGCGTGGTTCGCTTACGGACACCGTTCACACCACGCTCGAGGACGGCTGCAGACGTGGCCGTCTCAGGGGGGCCATCACAGGCGGCGGGTGAGGGCAGGCAGGGCAGCGGGTGGGGGGGGATCGCACACGG